GTCCTGCTCTGCAGACTTCTTCACATACAGTCAAAATGATTTTGCTCTGTGAATGATGGGTTTTCTTTTTTGTTTTTTTTTGTTTTTTTACATCGTGTTAAGTTAAAAGACACTCTTTAGGCTCATTCGCCACCATTTTCTTAATCACTTCCTCTGTCAGTGTTGTGGGGACTGTAGCCTATGATAGCAGGAAAAGCAAGTACACAATGGACAGGACTCCAGTCTACTGTAATATGGTAATGATAATATTCACTGCTTGTAACATTACATCACTTGTCTTAGATAAATCCAGGAGATTTTAATGGAATTGTTAGTCATGCTATAGATAAGGCGTGATGTTTTCTTCCAGCCTGTGTGTTTTTAAATGCCTTAATGAAGCATTACCTACTAGGCTGAACTGTAGAGTACAAGGAAGAATTATAATGATTATTTTTCACAGCTGTTTGGCCCCTTAAGACCTTCTGATGTTCTTACAACAGCAGGAACACGAGCAATTAATATTGCTCAAACGGTTTAGTTTGTATCCACTGGATATTCCTAAAATGATAAACAAGTTCACACTGTGTTTATAAATGTTACTGACAAGTCATTTGAAATTTTAGTTTTTGAATATATTGCTGAGGCATTTACATTTCAGTTTTCCTCTTTATATTTTTAGTGGGAAAATACTGTAAATGTAATATTATAATAAAGTTGCTAAAATGGATTTATTGGACCAGCTACACCAAATGCAAATCTATCAGCCATAAACATATGATGTGCTTCATACTGTTTTCCTGCGGGCAATGATCCTAACTTTGAATTGGATAACAGTTTAAAGCACGTTTACACGCGTTTGCCACGCAGGATGCTTACTCTCTGGGGCTTATTTGGGTTTCAGAGCTTTGAAACAGAATAAAAGAAGAGTTGAGAAGAAAAGGTGGAAGGAGAGTAGTCTGAATTGGGTTCTGGAGCTGTACTCCACCTCACACATCGCACTCATTCGCCAGCCGCGAGTGATTCCAAGCCAGCGAGCACCACATCCACCGGAGGAGCTGATAAACTGCTCCACCTGGCTTCTCCTGTGAGACGTGCTCGCGTCGGCACCACTATTTCTGTTCACTCGCTCACCCGAATCAGGTGATGCCCTGCAAGAGCAGCTATTGGCTCTTGTCTCAGACCTTCCCCGAGGTAACTGGAGGAGTGACGAGCACTCTGCACGTGACCTCTACAATGAGCTTCCTCCCACCGGAAGACGTAAGCAACACTGGAAGTTATTTATATAGAGACGAATCTGATGGTTGGCTTTGTTACGGTGCAAGGACTCGTCCCTAAAAATAAAAGCCGTGTATAACATAAAGTGTTGCTTTATTGTAACAATAAATTATATTCGCTAATTTTGCATCCGAAATAACCTGTCCATTAAAACGATGGGAAAAATGGTGCTGAGGCATGCTGGGAAACAAGGCATGCTGGGAAAGAGACCACCGCAGACGAATCAAATGGCTTCTTCAGAGACAGCATAATGAGACCTATATTAGACCTGGCCTCATTAAAATACCTTTATAAACAACGCACTGCTGTTTACAAAGACACTGTCAGTGCGCCAATATAAATGATAATTCCACTGAAAACGGGAAAAATAACAAGGGATAAAAATGCAAATTATTTCTTCTTAAATTATCATAATACAAATTAGTAAATCAAGTCAGCTCTGAATTTATGCATGTGTGCGTAACACACGACGTTTGTGTGGAGTTGATTGTCTTAGATGTGGTGTTTTGAATAATTTACAGCAATTATAATGGCATTTTTTGAAAAGCTAAAAGGGATGTTAGCGTCCCCCCAGCCCCCCGGGGACATTACTGCGTTTACTGAATTATTTAAAAGTGACACACTAAACGTGGGTACAGCGTTGGCATATAAAAAACCCACCCCCTCTCCCCCCGCTAATATCTGCCCATTACTGCTCCTTTAACATTTCCCATGATGCCCCGCGGCTTTGATCCGTTCAACTTGAGCGCCTTACAAACAAGAGGAGACGCTCTTTCTGGGACAGAACAGCTGAGACATATTCACTCTCATTTTGTAAAATAGCTGTTAACATTGATACAGCTGTTCATATTTTTGAGACACCGCGATGTTGAACATGTGCCGCCTGCCCCTCTATTTATGCGCCGCTTCCTGTTGATGACATCCGGGCATTCAGAAGGCTTGCACTCTGGGCTACATACAGGGAACCTGGTTTCTCCTCTCATCGCCCAGGGGAAAGTCCCCGGACACGTGGCAGAAAGTGCCCTGGCTTGAAACCAGTATCGATCTGTGCTCCACCACTAATGAGCTGAGATGTTCTGCTGAACTGAGCTCGGTGATCGCAGGTCGAATTTGTCAGCGTTGATAGTTATGCAAGAAAGCTGCTAGTAACGCCTTAACAGAACGGGGCTCATTCTCCGAATGCTTCTTTTACAGTTCACTTCGTCCAAGCATGTCTGTGAATATATGGGCCCACTTTTACTGCACATACTTTTGCGGTTTGGAGCAACAGGTGCAGTCAATATAATAATAGGTCCTTATAAAAACGAATGAAAAATGGTAAGGCTGCAGTTTCCTTACGGTAAGGTTCCTAATTACTGTTCATTTAGACATTCCCCCCTGTTTAGCATTCCTACCATTTCTACCATTTAAAATTAAAGAAGAGCTTATAAAACAATATAATTTTTTATAGATTAAAGTAGTCTGAAGTGATTTATTTGAACAACAAATATGCCAGGTCTAAGGTGTAAGGATTTCTCTGATTTATTTATTTTGTAGTGTTGGCCATATTTATTTATTTGATCAAACACATTGTTAAGATGTTCCTGTAAGTTCCTCAGTAAGTTTCCCTGAGCTTTTAAAAAACAGACAAATCCTGTTTAAGCACCGTGAGTTTCTTCAGAAGAAGAAAAATATATCTCAGGTTTTGAATTGTGGTTAGGGCTCCACCTTGTGGTGAAATATTGGACATGCAACTCATTAGCGCCGAGCACAGGACTCATACAATAAATCCAGGCATATATTAGGCAAATCAATCTGAGAGTCTGATTTATTTCCATATAATCAGACATAGTTGTAAAACGTTTTATTGTATGGGGTACTTTGTGCATATAGGTATTGGGGGGGCTTTAGGTTGCAGGATTTGATATTTACAACCTACTTTAGAAAAAGAAAAGCTTGTGAGAAATACTCCCATATTTAAGCAGAAATGCTGGTGAATTAAGCAAGGCCTTCTCTGAAAAAGGCACTGATGCCCTAAAATCTGTATACGTTATTTGGTTCGTTACTCATGCAATGTGAACTAATGCTCCCATTCAACCACAGATGCAGACTTCTGTGCAGATGCTGATATCAGCCAGGTGCTCCCTCTTTTGATAGTTTGTGATTTTCCCCAAAAATATTTTTCACACTTTCCTCGTCAGCCCCCCTGAATATTTTTTTGTTTTTTACCAAACTCATGTCCATCTTAAACGAGCTTGGTCTCCGATATCTCAGATATCAGATGTATTTTTATCAAAGTAGAGTTTTAAGTTTGTGTATGTGGATTATATGACAAGCAATTCAGTATTAGATTTTCAGCTTTGCCCCCTGCACAGATATATTTCTCTGGATTCTTCAAATTTTTTTGGTGATATTCAATTGCATATAGAGAGTATTCATCCCCTCAGATGTTTTTAATCTTTTATTGCTTTTATAATTGGATTCATGGTCAATTTTAAAGCTTTAAAAAACAAACAAGTCTCTGATATTAAAATATTTTTTTTTACTTCTACAAAGTAATGTGGATTAATTCAAACTATTAAACAACTACATAAATATTCACTCTTGTTAAAGCCATTTATACTCGAGGGTTCATTCACTGAGGATACAAGCTCACTGCAAACATCTCTGTCTCTTGGAGTCTATCCACAGGCACGCAGGAGGCTCCAAGGTTAACTAGAAGAAGGTTGTTCGCTCTGATTTAACTAACATAGAGCTTTTTGTCTGAGGCCAGACCTCAGGCCGGAGAACTTGTCACTGAACTCTAAATGTGTTGTTCACAGCAGATCTCTGTTCAGTCTGATGGAGTTTGAGCAGTGTTGCGAAGAAGAATGGAGTCTGAGTGAAACCACTCCACATAAGGTCAAAACAAGGATGGCAGCCAAAGGTCCACTAAATATTCATTTCAGGGGGGTGAATATTTAGGCAATAACTGACTATAGAGAACTTTTTTGTGAATTATTGCCAAAAAAATGAATGCAAGGGGGATGCTTATGTTAACAAACATTATTTTAAATATGCCTTACAATGACTTTGAACAGAAGCGTATTTTTTTGATATAACAATTCAAAATAACACCTTCCCAATTAAATATGGAGTTTAAATATTATGCAAATATATGCACTTAAATTTTATTTACATGTACTTTAGAATCCCAATTTCTTCTTCTTTCTGATAAAACATGCATTTCCTACAAGCACCAATAACTTCAGGCCAAATCCTTTCCCCAATTGATTTTAAAAGTCACTCCTGGTCTAGCATTTATGAGTAATTATGATATTGTAATTTTTGGTGGGCATGGTCCAGTTTAAACACCTTGTAACCCATAAAAGAATACAGGAACATAAACGAGCTTAGTCACTGTTGTTATACACTGTCTGCACTCAAAATGGCCAATGGATCTCCATTTTCTCTGTGATCTCACCTTTCAGGCAGAATAAAGACAGTTTGTTTTTTTCCATTTGGTCCCCAGTAGGGCGGGAAACCAGCTCTACAGCATTTATTCTAATCGCCTCTGACATGAAAGCACCCAGTGACACACATAGGCATACTGTATACTGCAGGATTAGGCAGTACACAAAAAGATTACAGCGTCACATGGTATTGCTTCCAAATGGTGCCTTCTCACAACCTACTTCCCCCCTCTTAGGTATCCCATCATTCCCTGGAATGGGCGTAGGCTCACGCAGCAGCAGCATCACAAAGGTTCAGCTCCTCCCTGCTGTGTGCTTGATATAGGATGGGAGGGAGAGAGGGACCGAGAGAGACAGAGAGGATCAGGCACAGATGAATTCTAGTCTGAATGACGGAAGCGGTGTGGGCACATGTGAGTGAGAGAGGACGAATCCGGAAGTAGAGAGACCTGCGCGCGTGTGTGTGTGTGTGTGTGTGCGGGAGAGAGAGACAGAGAGAGTGTAAATCAACAGAAAGAGGAAGAGGACATAAAGAAAGGAAGAAAAAGGGCTTCAGGAGGAAGCAGACAAGACAAGGGGTCTCAGACTGAGAGGGAAGATGGCTGAGCCGGAGCTGAAATCGAGAGGCAGCCGAGAGAGCGTCGCTAAGGAGAAGATGGGGGGTAGGTACAGTGCATGCTCGCGCTCCTCTAACTGCCACATGGTGCAGCGCTGCATTATTCCACCATGCGCACTGATGCAACATTGCCTGATGCAAGAGTAGAATTGTAGAGTTGATGCTGAGGAGATGCTTTCATGGTAGCAGGTGACAGGTGTGGACAAATGGCACATATTAGGAACGTGGGTAAGAAAACACAACAATCAGATGCAGTGTGTGTTTACACGGATAGAAAGAGTTTAATAAGGACGGCAGGTTCAGAATGAAAATCTCATAGGTGCTGATTTACAAAAATGTCTATTTTTAAAAAATGATATGAATTCTTCCTTTAGTAACACAAGTTTTTGTTTGTTTTTATTAATCATAGTTTTTCAAAGTAACCAGCGCCTAAAACAACTCAGCGAGAAAGCTTGTAAATTTATTTCATTTGTCTGAAAATGAGCCAGACTCTGTAATTTGACTGTCTCCCCTTCTGCTGTCCTCTCACCACCAGCGACTGGAGCAGAGCCTGAGCAAGATGGTCTCATTGTGGAGCAGCCAGCATCTCCATCTGACCCCGTGGGTTCTCCGCCTGCTGCCACAGGTTCCACCAACAGCCTGCCAGGCAAGGGGGAGAAGATTGAACTCAAACGCAGCATCACCCTCTTCAACGGTGTCGGAATGATTATCGGCACCATCATCGGCTCGGGCATTTTCGTCACTCCCACAGGTGTTGTCAAAGAGACCGGCTCCGCTGGGCTCTCTCTGATCGTTTGGTCCGCCTGTGGAGTGATATCCACCATGGGTGCTCTGTGCTACGCAGAGCTGGGTACAACTATTGTCAAGTCAGGAGGAGACTACACTTACATCCTTGAGATATATGGCGAACTGGCTGCCTTTCTCAAGCTGTGGGTGGAGATGCTCATCATCCGGCCGTCGTCGCAGTATGTGGTGTCACTGGTGTTTGCGACCTACCTTCTGAAACCTCTCTACCCCAACTGCGTCGTGCCCGACAGCGCAGCCAAGCTCATTGCCTGCCTGTGTCTTAGTGAGTACATGATGTTGGTGGGCTTTCTTAGGTCAAATACACATGTTAGACACTTCATTGCAGCTGGTCATTCACCAGATTCTTGATTGTAGTGTGTTTTGTGTCTCCCCGCTGCTTGTAGCCTCCCTGACATTTGTAAACTGTATCAGTGTGAAAGCAGCAACCAAGGTCCAGGACTTGTTCACCGCTTCCAAATTGATAGCCTTGATCATCATCATCCTCTTTGGCTTCATTCAGATTTCCACAGGTGAGTGGCAAAATACCCCAGAACAAACCAAATCAGCTGCATGACTGCATGCTGTTGAGAACAAATCTTATACCTTCATCACAAGACTTATTAATTTTTAACAGAGATGTAAAATAAGCTTCAGGTCAAAGCTGGAAAAACAGGTTTTGTCAGTGTAATAAAATCTAAATCCTCAACAATATTTAATCTA